GCACCAACACGAATGCCAGCAGATGTACGCAAAGAGATCCTCAAGGAGGAGGGACATGCAGAATCTTTGGAGTCTGGCCTGCCAAAGGCCTGAGTGGAGGCCTCAATGAACTCGCCAAAGCGAGCCTGTTCATCTTCATCTTCAACAAGTAAACGTTGAAAGGACCTGCCTTTCAGACTCACATCGGTGAGAATCAAATGCTTTAAGCATTCGCTCTCTTGTGCAATATTCATGTGGTTGTCCAAGAGCACTTCGCCATCACAAGCGCCTCTCAAGACCCTCCGGAAGCCGGAAACCAAAGACTCCGCATCGGCGGAATCCAACTGCGCATAAATACGTCCGCGCAGTGCCATGTCGATGAACACAGAAGAGGCAGTGCTGATGCCCCAGATGAAGAATTGAGTGAAACACAATGCCTGCAACTCGGCACCATCCACTTGAAAGAAAACCAAGTAGACAAAGATTTGAGCGGTGGTGTAGAAGATTTGGAAGGGGATGGTCAGCCATGGGTCCAAAAAGGCAAAGACCAAATAGAAGCGGCAGGCTATGGTGAATCCTTGAAGCAAAGTAAACTTGTATGCGTTTGGTAATGCCACGGTTGCCACAAGAATGAGCAAGATCAGGATGTGCATGAAGTAGCTAAATAGTTTCATTCGCAATGGCGTGCATTCCACCACTTTGGTTCCAATCGACAAGTGCTGGGTATAGGCTCCGACACCACAAATTGCCCAAATGATGGTCCCTGACCCTGGCATCTTCAAGGCTTCGTGGATAAAATGGAGGCACAGCACCAAACAAAGGTGAGACAACGAACGGCTCAGCCACTGGTAGTGCTTCAATCGAAGCTTCAGCATCTCTTCTTCAACCCGGCTCTCTTTCGGGATATCAACTTGCTGGACTACCTGCAGGGATGTCATCCTTTCAAAACGATCCTACACTGCGGATACGTTCGAAACACTCAGAAGTCTACTTCTCTCAAGAAATCTTCTCGGGGCGGAAACAAACTGGAACTCAAACAACACCATCTTGGCCTTGAGTCTCCAGGTTCAAGTTTGTGAACCGGAGTAACAAAGCAAGACATTGCCTCAAATGGCCTCAAACATGGAAACCGACTCGCCGCGCCACAACGCAAGACTGGAGGACCTGCATCAGTGAGCTCATCCATCCTCGCAGCCATGCCCAGTCCTCGTTGGTCAAAAGGAGGTGCACCGGGCCCCAGCACAGCGCCACCAGGGCCACTGCACTGGTGGCGTCCATGTGACGCAGGCGCAGGTTCACGCGTCGTGTGGCAGCACGCAGAAGAAAGGCCCCGAACTCTGAACACATGATATCGTATCATTTTGAATGGTACATACATGATGAGAAACATGATATCGTATCATTTTGTGGTGAAGAAACGACTAGATCTTACAGTAACTGATGCCTCTTAGCATGCTGCCAACACATGCCAGCACTTGTTCTATCGAACTAGGCAAGACAGCAGCTTCAACACCAATCAAGGTATTGGTACTCTGTGCAGCGCCGAACAAAGCACAACAGCTATGACATAGATATGAAACATATGAAACCTGCAAATCCCAGATATTCCCAGATATTCCCAGATTCAACACACATTGATCTGAACCTGCATTCTCATCGAAAAAACACATCGACTTCAGGGGTGACTGTCACTGGACTCGGGAACACGACCGAAGCCAGCATAACAAACCATGCATACATTCCTCCAAGTCTGCCAAAGATTATGCTCTCCCAGCTGGCACCAACATCACGAATTACAAAACACCTGATACACATCAATACAATGCAATCCCCTCAACTAAACAAACATCAACAACACCATTTCAACACCCAGTGGGCCCTCCGGATCGCTCCGTGTCGGGCCTTTCGCCCCGCCTCGGAGCTCCAAAACATGTAGCGAGGACGTGGCGAGTCGGTCCAGTCGAGGCCAAAGGGCGCCCTGCGAAGCGGTCGCGGGCGTCTGGCGCGGCGAACGGCGCCACAGGAGTGGGTTTCGTCTTCTCATCTCGTGGTCTGTTCATCTCATGAGGATCGAATCATGCGAGTTGGTCCGTGATTTGGAGCCGAGTTGGGTCGGATTGAGTCGACCGGGAGGTTCAAAGGCGGGACAACATCGGTTGTGATTAAAACCCCTGACGCACAGGTCGGTGAGCGCCGGCGCAGAAAGGGCGCAGAAAAAAACCACACCACCGAGGCCAAGAATCTATAGGGGCCACCGGGCCACCCCACCACCCTCGACTTCGGAGGTGGTTGGAGGAAATATACAGTATACATTAATATACTATGGACATCTATGGACCATCCAAGGCAGATCGTGGAGGTCTTATACCAAGGGCGTTCGAAGATGAAGACTCCCTTACTTGCCCCCGCCCCTATATCCTACTCAAAGCCTTAAAAGGGTCCTCCCCTCCCTCTTTGGATAACGCAAGGGCAGTTTGCGAACAGGACATTGAGTTTGCAAACTATAAAGGTTCCGTTTTCTAGATGTCTCTAGCTAGTACGTCTTTTTGAATATTTTCTGAGCAATCACTTGAGAAACAGAGTGCAGTCATGTTCGCCAAGTGTGACATTGGAACATGAGGATGTGAAGTATGAGTGAGCATGAACTTGCAAGGAATTATGCAAGTACAGCGTAGAGCAGAAAATGAAAAACATGCACATGATATAGACTTACAAGTAGTTCCCGGGCAAGCCGGCGGCGGAAATTTCCAAAATAATAAACCTATAGGAAATGGGCATGTGGCAGGCTGATTCGCCGAGCTGCGATGTTCTTTGACAAAACAAGTTGGAACCGACCAATGGAGCGAAAGCGAAGCAACCACCGTCAACTGTCTCGCAAGAAAAAACGTTCATGCATTTTTGCAAAGCACAGCATAGAGATGACTCAGCCGCGTACTAAAGTTGTACTACAAAGTCGCCAGTTCTCAGCTTCCAGCTCCACGGCTTGCTCCGCGTACTAGAGTTGTACTACAAAGTCACCAGTTCTCAGCTTCCAGCTCCACAGATACTCCGCGTACTAAAGTTGTACTACAAAGTCGCCAGTTCTCAGCTTCCAGGTCCCCAGATTGCTCCGCGTACTAAAGTTGTACTACAAAGTCGCCAGTTCTCATCTTCCAGCTCCTTGGATACTCCGCGCACTAAAGTTGTACTACAAAGTCGCCAGTTCTCAGCTTCCAGGTCCCCAGATTGCTCCGCGTACTAAAGTTACTAAAGTTGTACTACAAAGTCGCCAGTTCTCATCTTCCAGCTCCTTATACTCCGCGCACTAAAGTTGTACTACAAAGTCGCCAGTTCTCAGCTTCCAGCTCCCCAGATATTCCGCGTACCAACGTTGTACTACAAAGATCCCAGTTCTCAGCTTCCGGCTCCACAGATTGCTCCGCGTACTAAAGTAGTACTGCAGAGTCGCCAGATCTCATCTTCCAGCTCCCCAGATACTCCGCGTACTAAAGTTGTACTACAAAGTCGCCAGTTCTCATCTTCC